GGGTCTAATTGAGAATAATATCTCTACTGAGGAATACATTTTCAGACGGAGACCATTTAGTCAAAGAGACACAGAATGAGACCTTTTTCCATGTAATTTTGCCATCATGTTTTTTCTCAAAAAAGATAGGCGAATTAGTGAAGAAGTGGGGCATAAAAACAGTGTTCAAAGAAACCCTCACACCGGCTGCAGTAGAACGAGTTTCATCCGTCCTCATTTGGTGAGATCGACCAACGAATCTCTTCTTCATTCACTTTCATACGAAATGAAGGTCTCCCTAACACTTTTTAACCAACCCAGACATTCTAAAAACGATAATAGCCACCACTTCAATAAAATTGTGCAAAAAACAACACTTAAACGACGACAACTTCGCCAAGACCTCTCTTCAATTTGGCGTAGAGATTTTTCTCGCTGCCTTTCCGCTCAAAATAACTTGTCTTAATCTTCTACCAGAAGTCTCTGAGTTACAATGTAGATTTTGCTAGCATCATTGTGCTAAACCTAATTTCTTACCGTAGCTTGCTACTTTATTTGTTCAGAGGTTAGATTTTTGTGGTCCTAAACATCTTAATCAGCTGCAGATTCAGGTAATTTTGCATGTTTTCCATAAGCATCGACCCATCTGATAGTAGTGAAAATTTCGTTAAACTATTTCGTCCCTTGTCGGGCTACAAAGTCATCTTTAGAAATGGCGAAATCGGACCCAAGCCAAAGAATCAATATATTCATATTTTAATTAAATAGTCTTTAGGCACCAACTTAAGCATCATTAATATATGCTGTGCCATGAGTATTAACCTAGTGTAAGCCTTCGGACTAAAAGGCCTGACCCATTTGGTCCAGAAATTGCGCTGCAGCATCCCTGCTGGGGCTGGTAACCCTAGCTCTTTGAATAAGCCTATATTACGCTCTCAGAAAATGATTTGCTTGATCTTCATCTTCTAAAATAATTTATTGTTAAAAATAAAATATATGGTTCGAAGCCCTCGAGGCAGATAATATGCCTAAGGTTCCTTATCTTTTACAAGGATTTAGTAGCCTAGAACCCATTATGATATACAGTTCATAAAAATTAGGGCTGGGAGACCTTTCTTGCTTTGAATTTCAAACGTCCTCCACGGCACACTGGTATTTGGGCACCTCAGCCTAATGAACTGCCTAGTTCTACCGATTTTTGATTTAGATTAGAATGATGATGAATCCTG